TAATGCTGCTGCCAACATCTTAACATGCTCCGAGAGAGCTTTGTAGGGCACAGAGCTACAGCAAAAGCCCTGGTGCCACCTTGGGTTTAGCATTGGGCTGCCAACAGCAAGGCTGGAGAATCAAGCCCACCAGCTGTTCCAGAGAAAAAAGTGGAGGCTTGAGGATAAACAGCTTTGGAAACCCTGTCTGGATTCACTGGGGGTCAAGAGTCTACACCACGGCAGTGAGTTTTGTTATTTGTGTTTTTCCCTCGGTTGTGGGTATCTCAGGCGGCACAGGCTTCTGTCCTAGATACAGGAGGAGGTGTAATTAAAAGGGGAGACTACGCTTGCCGGTGGCTAGGAAGACTAGGAATGGGCACACCCCTCGTTTCACATTCCTGAGCTCTGCAGGATGCACCTGCTACCTGCTCTTGACCGGGCCCTGCAGAACCGGCACAGCACCGTGCTCTCTCCAAGCACTCATGGCCGGACATGGCAGGCAGCCCATCTACTATCCACACTCACATGGGGATATAAGCCCGACTCCCTCCCAGGGGACGTGGGGATGTGGACAGACTCGAACACGCAGACCCTGTGAGCTGCTGGAGAAAAGCCATCCCCTGGCACAGACGTGATGCCGGAGGAGAATCCAGGGGACCCCACAGAACCGCTGCTGCCCTCCCCCAAAGACACCATGCCGAGATCAGGCCAAGGTGCACTTGCACCTACTCCAGTGGTTACCTGGTTGGCCACATGTGTCCCGGGAAAGACCTGTTCTCCCCTGGGAGCCTCTGGAGTTTTCCATCTCAAGTCCTGCCACTAAGGCAGTGACAAGGACTCAGGAAATGTCAAGAGGGATGGCGGGATGTTTTCTGTTTAAGTATGTTCAGAAGACTGACTATAGGTGTTATCGTGTATTTTCCAAATATATCACTGCTCACTGCCCTCAGGCCAAGTCCAACTCACAGTGACTGGAGAACAGGATAGAACTGCTCCCTAGGGGTTCCGAGACACTAAGTCTTTCCGGAAACCGACAGATTCATCTTTTTTTCCTTTTTTCAAACAGCAGCAGGGTTTGAACTGATGACCTTGCAATTAGCATCTCAACCCCTAACCCACTATGCCACCATGGCTCCTTTCCAAATGCACAGTTTATGAAATGTCAGAGGGAACCCTGGTGGTGAAGTGGTTACACATTGGGCTGGGATCCACTAGGTTAGCAGTTCAAAGTCACCAGCCAGCCACATGAGTGGGAGGTCTGAGGTGCTTGTTTCCAACCGCCCCCCCCCCCCAAAAAAAAAAGAAATTTCAGAGTGGCTTGAAATGTGCTTTTATTCTCTTTCCTGCTAAATGAGGAGGAAAGCACTGTAAGATTGTTTCATCATGAGATGATCAAACTGTTGCTTGTTAGAAGGCTGTATATTGATTTAGGTCCTGTGCTGTAGCACCACAGTGTGGCCTACTTTGGGAGGTGGGCTCTGCCCACCTAGGAAGATTTGCAGTCAGACCTGTAGTAACATTACCATCAAGACAGCAGGTCCAACTATGCAGATGGGCTGAGTTCTCTGTGGGATTTGAGAAGGATTGTACAAATCATGGTGGTGTTAGTGAGTAGTGTGTGTTTTTCCAGGTTAAAAAAAAGGGAGTGGGGGACAGAAAAGAGGGTATAATTGGAAATGGTACTAGTCTGGGTATTTGTTTTGGCACTTGAAGAAGAACTAGATGTTACAGAGCTAGAGAGAAGTTGTGTTCTGCCTTGGGTGTCTAAGGAGACCTACTGGTGCTATTGAGTAAGTGCTGGACAGCTAACTGTAAGATTGGTGGTTCAAACCCACCAGCTGCTCTGTGAGAGAAAGATGATGTTTTCTGCCCCTTTAAAGATGTACAGCCTCAGAAACCTTGTATAGAGTCACTTTGAATCAGATCCAACTTGCTGGCAGTAGGTTTGGGTGGTTTGGTACCAGGTATCTAGGGAGGGCTCTTCGGATATTGGGTAGGTGCCTCCCTGGAGGACCTGGAAGGCAGCATGGTCTGTCATGAAGACCATGGAACTTGGAGTTCAGGTGGGACAAGGTGGGAGTTCCTATCCTGTTAGCTTCCTAACTCGTCAGTGATCACGTGGGGCAAACAATTACCATTTCATTTCTGATACAGTTTTCCATGAAAAAGAAGTTTGTGACATTAGAGAATGTAAGGGGAGGGGGGGAATGCATAGCTATGTTTCATTTCTAGTACGATTATAGCAACTTAGTGGCTTAAGGTAGCACCACTTGTTCTCTCCTAGTCTTGTTGGCTGGCAGCCGACAGGCTCACTGAGCTGAAGCCATGTTGTGTGCACGGCCTTGCTTCTTCCTGGAGGCTCTAGGAATGAAGTGGTTTCTTTCCCAGCTTGAGAGGCTGCCCACACTCTTGGTTTGTGACCTCTCCCTCCACCAATGCAAACACCATTATATCTCTGACTATCATGGGCTTCTGTATGTCTATGGACCTGAGGATTAGGGTGAGCATCACTGGAGGCACAGATGGGAACACTAAATAGCCTCCAGGAAACCTGGGGTCCTAGTCAACTGATGAGTGCATCACTGTTTCTTTTCTCACGCGAGATGTCAGTGGTTCTCAAGCTGGGCAAGGGTCGACACAGTACACTGAAGAAGGCCTGTCCGTGCACTGATGAGGTGAAGGTGGAGAAATGGCATTTTATTAGTCCCCAGTTAGCAGATTGAGGAAACAAGGGTAGAATTCTAGCCAAGAACACCCAGCCAGAAAGGAGGGAGGTGTTCCCACACCCCAGCCTCTCGAGCCCAGCTCTTCACAGACACCTCCAGAGGGCGGTGGGTGCTGGGCTCCTGCCTGAGCAGGAGAGCTGAAAGCTGTGCTCCCCACCTCGGGAGTGTCACCAGGTCAAGCTCTCTGGGCTCCTCATCAGGCTGTCACTTATAATCAAATCCCACCACCCTGTGCCCTCTCAGAGGTCCCTTCCCCCTGCAGACGGCCCTTCCAGAACGACTCCTAAAAGACCACCGCCTGGTGGTGGTCTTTTATGTCTTGGCAAGCGTGTGCCGGCAGATGGTAACATTTACTGTTTTATCTGCACCCAGAAAGATCGTGGTCTTCCGAGGGGTGAAAAACTGGTCTTTTAAAAACTAAAGGAAGAATAAATACTGTGTTGTGTTTTTGGTAAAAGTTCACACAGCAAATTAAACTCCCCTGTGAGTTTCTGAACAATTGTTCCATGACGTTAGCTACCTTTTTCAAGAAACATCTCTTAAAGGGGCTATCCTACAGAGTCTCATGTGCTGCCTTGGGGAGTCAGCCTGAATCTGGGGCTTGACCTTGGACAGGTGGCCTCTGGCAAGTCATCTTGGATTGGGGGTGGTCTGAGCACTGGAAGAGTTAGGCCATGCCAGAGGCACAGTGCCACCCCATGCCTGGTGGGCACTTGACCCTTGGCTGCCACAGTGGATTGGTTTCACAGGCTCCCTACAATCGAGTGCCTGCCCAGTGCAGGGTGCAGGCTCACCAAGCCTGGAAAGATGCTGGGGACCTGGGACACTCTTCTCCCCTAGTGTAGTCCTCTCCAGCCCTGCCCCTGCCCTTCCTGTGTGTGCAGTGGTTTTCACACCTGAGGAGAATTGAGAGTACGCTACTGAAGGGACAGGACCATTCACAAATGTAGTGCTCTGGTGCGAGAAGTCATCCTCAGGGTCCAGTACAGAAGTCCTAGGAACTTGGAAGAAAAAGTCCTGACAGCTTGAAACTTACAAAATCATGCTTTTTCCGACACTAGGTATTTCCAAGTCCTGGGAGCACTGTTTGTACCTCATTAAATCTCAGTCTCTTGAAGTCTTCTTTTTAATCTGTGTTTTGGGAGCTGGCCTGAGTGCCTCTTCTTCCTGGGGAGCACACTATGCAGGGTGGGGGAGCCCTACTGGCATTCTGGGGTGCATGGTGCACTGACTTGGGCAAGTCAGCTCAGAGCAGGCAATAAACGGCAACACCAGAGTCCGGGCTACAGTTCCCTTAGGCCGGCACCCTGGCTTCCTAGAGCCTCCACCAGGCACTTCTGAGACCCACAGGAGGCGCACTCCGGGCAGCCAGTGGGGGAAGGGGGGAGGCTAGAGGTGCACCCCACTTTGGAAAGCCTGACCATATACGGAAGAGCGTCGCAATTACAGGCTAATTTTCCACTCAGCCAGAAACTCGTGGCAGGTTTCCTAGTACATTTAAAATAGGATGCAGTGTATAAAAATACCACTCGGCACACAGGGACCATGTTTTCTGAAAAGGGATGTGTACTTGCATTGGGCATGTAGGCTAAGTGGATCAGAAGTAAAAATAAAACCTCACAGATATAAGAAGAACTAGAAAGCAGATTCCACTTTTAATTCCAGAAGGTTTATATTTAACTCTACTCTCGTACCCTCTCCTACCCCAGACTCCACTGCAAAAATAAGCTGGCAAGATCTGTAGTCTGTTCATGATAGTGAGGAATGAGGCAAATTTGGGTGGGTGGGAGAAGCAGGTGGGGCACAGGAGCACAGTGGCAGGGCTAGGGGCCCTACCCCCACCGTGGCCACTGCTTGATGCAGAATTGCTTATGTTGCTCCCCTGTGGTGGTCTGTCCAAAGCTTGGAACGGTTCATTCCGGGTCAGTCCCCTGCCGAGAATGTGCCTTTTCTAGCCCCAGACATGCTCCCCGGACTGTGACTCCGTGTGTCTGGGGTGGGGAGGCAAATTCCCAGCAGGGACTTGACCAGCCCTCAAGCCCTGGATCTGTCAATGGAGGTGTTGTGGGGTTTGGCCTATGATACTGTGGCTGCATCCCTTCCACAGTGTGGTCAGTAGAGGTTAGAGAGTGACCAGTCTGTTCTGCCCCCACAAATGCTGTAACCACAGAGGCACAGGCTGAGGTCCTGACTGATGGGGTCTGGGAGATGCCCAGCGGACAGAGATGAGTGGGAATATGGCATGGCATAGCGTGGTGTGGCATGTCTTGACTTCTCCTACCTTTCTTTCAGAAATGTTCCCACTGCCAGGAGGCAGGCGCCACCTTGGGCTGCTACAACAAAGGCTGCTCCTTCCGGTACCATTACCCGTGTGCCATTGAAGCAGGTAAGGCAGGGCCACAGGCCTTGTCCAGAGGTTGCCTTCGAGCGCGCAAGACCGCAACCTGGCGCACTTCTCTTTTCCTCCCCAGTAGCTCTTGTCCTCTCTCTGGACTTGGTGCTGTTCGTAAATGTTAAAGAAATGCAGACAAGATAATAGAAAGGCATGGGATAGGTTTTTTTTTTATCTTTAATAAATGTTACTGATAAGTAGATATCTATATATAGATCTAAAATTCATATGCCATTCAATTCACCTGTTTAAGTTGTGAGATTCAGTGTGTTTTAAGATAGCCACAGAATTATGCAAACCAATAAATTTTACAAAGTTTTCATCACAGTGAGAAAGAACCCATACCCATTAGCAGTTACGGCCCCTCCCACCTCTCTCCTAGCCCTAGGCAGCCACTAATGTACTGTGTGTCTTGCTGGATTTGCAGATTTGAGATGTTTTATAAGATGGAGTCATACAATAGGTGGTCTTTAGTGACTAACTTCTTTTATGTAGTATAATGTGTATGTATCAGTACTTCGTTCCTATAGCTAGGATATAGATATACAATATTCATCTATTCATTGGTTGATGGCATATAGATTGTTTCCATTTTTTGCTTATTTGCTTATTATGCTACTATCAATATACACAAGTGTTTGTGTGGACATGGATTTTTATTCCTCTTGGGTATGTATAACCCGGGTGTGGAATTGCTTGATAATTTAGTAACTGTTTAAGCGTTTGAGGAGCCTCTTTCCCCAAAGTAGCTACAGTTTAAGTTCCCTTACCATTGGTTCCAGTTTCTCTATGTCGGTCTTTGTCATGGTATTGGTTTGTTTCTTACTGAGTGTGCAGGGATCGCTCGTTGTCTTGACTTGTCTTTCCCTGATGCCCAGTGACACTGAGCATCTCCTTATGGGCTTACTGGCTATTTGTTTATCGTTGGAGAAATGTCTTATTCGGCCCTTTTTTAAATCATTTTATTAGGGGCTCATACAACTCTTATCACAATCCATGCATACATCAGTTGTGTCAAGCACATTTGTACATATGTTGCCATCATCATTCTCAAAACATTTGCTTTCTACTTGAGCTCTGGCTAGCAGCTCCTCCTTTTTCCCCTCCCTCCCCGCTC